TGGGCGCTGGCGGGGGGGGGGGGGGGGGGGGGGGTATTACTGTAGCACTGAACCATTCCCCCAGCCCCCCCCACCCTCACACCAACAGTATCAGCCAACTGTACTTCAAGAGGTATCACAACCCTGCCGCCTGACTGCTGGACACGTTACAATTAACACCATCACACCATATTTCCGATACTTTTTTAATGTTTCTGAAATATCAGCATCCTATGTAGCCGCTGCCATACTGACTCCCTGTGCCCACCCCCCCCCCGCATGAGTCATCGATTATATCTCAGGCCCCCTCATTTCTAAGGTCCCTGGCTCCGCCCGCTGCGGGGTTGGGGGGGCAGGCGACCCCGGCGCTCCAAGGCCGCGCTGCAGCTCGATTGGAGGAGCCAGCAGAGCCGCAAGATAAATAATTGAAATCAGCCGGTTAATAACCACTATAACTCAAGGGTGTCAAGTGAAACGTTTTGTTCGACGAACAATATGCTGGCTAATTACCACGCTCAGTCATCTGCACAGCGCGAGCGGCCTGTTTTCCGCACGCACTCTGCTGCTGCGGGGACACGGGGGGGTGGGGGGGGGGCACCGGCAGGACGGGGGCGCCCATTTCGCCCCCACGATATACCGTCAGTCCTCATCTGACAAGGACCACCTCAGACGATAGAAATCACGTTTTATATGAGCACGACAGCTTCCAGCCCCACCTGCCCCCCCCTCCAGGGTCAGAGTACGGGGAGCACCCTGCTACCCAAAATGATGTGACAGCATCAGTAATGGAGGCTCTTATTAACCACTTGAACCCCCTGTGCACAGTAATGGGAGGGAATCACTTACGTGCAACAGAGAAGTTATTTAACGGCGTCTCCAGCTGATCGACATCCTGTGGTCTCTCCTTATAGCCGATGAACGTACCGTCGCTCTTCAGTAAGAAGTACCGCGGCCGCCAGGTCTTGATGTACTCACCTGCAGGACACAGCAGAGGGCTGGGTTAGGGGCTACGTGTGACATCATCACTAAGGGACGGCCTACTCAGAAGAGATGCTTCACGTGGGTCTTGAACTATCACACATGACCGGCTCTGTGCCTTGAAACCACATCACCGATTAAGCTCATATTTCCATTTGGGACAAAAGTGAGGAGCATGGGTGACCGCGACCTCCCTCCCTACCTCCCATAACAAC